ATCCAAAAGTTACGCACCCACGCTTTGCAGGTTATTAATGAGCATAAGCAACTACAAAATGAAAATACCAATCTTATTTCTCATAACGCACAAAAGGATATTTTTATTGCTGAATCCAAGGCTGAGAATGTTACAAAATCTAAGAAAATTCGATCTATGATTAAGATATTGGAAGGTAAGTTATCTTCAGCCCAGAAAGATGTGATTTCGACTCAAAACAACGCATCAAAAAAAGAATCCGAGATATTATCCCTCAAGTCTAAAATGGCTGAAGTGGAACGTGAGTTAGCTTCAAAAGTCAGTGAACTTGAGTGTCTGAAATCAGAGGCTATATCAAACCCCGTACTTGGTGGAAACGACGACGAAAAAAATATGACCAAGTCTGACGATATATCTTTGGGTAGTACTGATCTCAGTAAATATTTTATACGCAAAAAAAATATGAATCAAGCTGGAAAAATTGATGGTAATATCTCAACCTATACCGATACCAATGATGAGATTACCGAACTATCAAAAAATAATGCTGAGATCAACCCCAAGCTCGGTGATAAAACTAGCATTAGCAAGATTGGTGAGGACCTTATACCCCGATCTCAAGACTCGAAGAACCATTGCTCTGCAATAGAAATACCGAATATAACTCCTTACCTTGCACAGCCGGAAAATAATATGTCCTCTTTGATTCAATCGAATTCTCAAATTCCGATAGGAGGAATAGGAGCGATGAGACCTAGTCTCGAGGCTTTGCCTCTCCCTGTTATGACAAGCACGTTGATGTCACCTTTATCGGCATATATGTTACTTACTCTATTAATTATTGCTGTTATGTGGTTTGTGGTATTGAGACGTACATGGGGGTTGGAGAGGAAAAGTGACCAGTTACGAGGTGCGTGGACTAGGTATTAAAACTATCTATGTAAACTTGGGTATTTTTTATGTACGAAAAAAATATTATTAATAACAAGACATTTCGTTTCAATCAGGAGAAAGGGGTAAGGACTAGTGGGAATGTGGGAATTTACTGCGGATATGC